GTTCCTGGCTCATGATGATACTTAATGAACGTTTGTTGAATAGGTAATTTTTCCCCCTTAGTGTGTTATTTTCAGGATCTTTTTGGAGCTTTTGCACTTAATTTCTTTTCAGATAATTGTATATGTCAAAATCAAACTTCAGAATAAGAATTTACTGACCAGAACACCATTTAGTACTTTATATGATAGGAAGGAGTAAAACCACTGGCTAAAGTGAAAAATTTTTTGTGGGTGGACACAGTGGCTCATGCCTTTGATCCTAGCACAGTGGGAAGCCAAGGCAGGAGGATTACTTGAGACCAGGAGTTCAAGACCAACCTGGCCAACATAGTGAGACGCCCATCTCAAAAAAATGAAGTTTAAAAATTTTTTAAATTAGCCGAGCATGGTGCTGTGTACCTGTAGTCCCAGCTACTCGGGAGGCTGAAGCTGGAGGATCCCTACAGCCCAGGAGTTTGAGGCTGCAGTGAACTTTGATCCTGCCCCTGTACTTCAGCCTGGGCAACAGAATGAGACCCTGTCTCTACAAAACAGAAACAGAAACTTTTTTTTTTTTTTTTTTTTTTGGTAGTAAATTCTCAATAGGTTGTCAAGGAAACTTACTGAGGAGAGCTATTTACCAGTAACAGTGTTTGCTTTGAAGTGTGGCTACAAACTAATGAGGCTTGCTTCCTTCAGCCTCATTATTGTAGTCTTAGTTCATATAGTCATGGTTGAATGTGCAAAGCAATAACACTTGCTAGGTTTACTAATTAGTGTTTCACATTGATTGAAATTTAGAAATTGAATGCTTATACTTTGTCAGAGGTTTCCTTTTCTTTGCTTTAGCTTTGAAATATTCCTGTAAAGGTTTTTCTTTTGGACTGTAACTTCATTACATGGCCTTAGTCAGCCTTTGAAGCAATGCGTAGGTTTATAATGGCTGGCAAGCACTTTACCGGGAAGTGAGGGAAGAAAGACTATGTGTTGTTATTTATACAACAAGTCAGTGGAGGATTAACCCATTTTACTAATTTTTTTCTTGAATCTTTTTGTAGTTGGATAAATATGACTTAAATGCCTTTGTCTAGAGTCTTTGGAGGGCTTTTTTTTTTTTAACCTTGTAATTTGAATTAACCTACATGCTTATATTTGGGTTTATTTTCTTTTGATAAGGAATGTTTTAAAATGTAAGATTGGTCACAGTTATTGAAGAGAATGAGTGTGGCACTAGTTTTATGATTTAGTAAATCACTGGCCAGGCACAGTGGCTCACACCTGTAATCCCAACACTTTGGGAGGCCTACGCGGGCGGATGACCTGAGTTCGGGAATTCGAGACCAGCCTGACCAACATAGAGAAACCCCATCTGTACTAAAAATACAAAAATTGGCCGGGCATGGTGGTGCATTCCTATAATCCCAGCTACTCAGGAGGTTGAGGCAGGAGAATCGTTTGAACCTGGGAGACGGAGGTTGTGGTGAGCTGAGATCATGCTATTGAACTCCAGCCTGGGCAACAAGAGCGAAACTCCATCTCAAAACAAAACTAAGGATAACCTGGAAGCTTACTCCATTGAGGTATAGACTCTGGGGGAAAAAAAGTAGCACTGACTCCCTTCAGCTTTTAAAAAATGACTGTGATTGGCTGGGCGTGGTCGCACACCTGTAATCCCATCACTTTGAGAGGCCAAGGTGGGTGGATCACCTGAGGTCAGGAGTTCAAGACCAGCCTGGCCAACACAGTGAAACCCCATCTCTATTAAAAATACAAAAAACTAGCTGGACATGGTGGCAGGTGCCTGTAATCCCAGCTATTCGGGAGGCTGAGGCGGGAGAATCACTTGAACCCAGGAGGCAGAGGTTGCTGTGAGCCAGGATTACGCCACTGTACTCCAGCCTGGGCAACAGGAGCAAAACTCCATCTCAAAAAATAATAATAATAATAATAATACTGTGATTGCAAAACTAGTTTTTTTTAATTGAAATGAAATTCACATAACATTAGCCATTTTATTTTTTATTTTTTATTTATTTATTTTTTTGAGATGGAGTCTCGCTCTGTCGCCCAGGCTGGAGTGCAGTGGCCGGATCTCAGCTCACTGCAAGCTCCACCTCCCGGGTTTATGCCATTCTCCTGCCTCAGCTTCCCAAGTAGCTGGGACTACAGGCGCCTGCCACGTCGCCTGACAAGTTTTTTGTATTTTTTTTTAGTAGAGACAGAGTTTCACCGTGTTAGCCAGGATGGTCTCGATCTGCTGACCTTGTGATCCGCCCGTCTCGGCCTCCCAAAGTGCTGGGATTATAGGCTTGAGCCACCGCGCCCGGCCACATTAGCCATTTTAAAATGAACAATTCATTGGCATTTAGCAATCACCATTTCATATCTACTTTCTGAATACTTTCATCTTCCCCAAATAAAGCCCTGTACCTGTTAGGCAGTTGCTACTCATTTTCCCCTTCCTCCAGTTCCTGGTAACCACCAATCTGGTTTCTGTTTCTCTGGATTTGCTTATTCTGTGAATTTCATATACATGGAATCATACCGTATGTGACCTTCTGTGCCTGGCTTCCTTCACTTAGCATGTTTTCAAGGTTCATCCATGTTGTAGCATCTGTCAGTAATTCATTTTTTTAATGGCTGAATAATATCCCATTGTATGTATAGGCCACATTTTGTTTATTCATTCACTCTTATTGGATATTTGAGTTTTTACCTTTTGGTTATTGTAAATAATGCTGCTATAAACATTTGTATGGAAGTATCTGTTTGAGTACCTGTTTTTAGTTCTTTTGGTTACATACCTAGCAGTGGAGTTACTAGATCTAATGGTAACTTTATGTTTAACTTACTGAGGAACAACCAAATTGTTTTCCACAGTGGCTGAATGAAGCATTGTACATTCCTATCAGCAGTGTACGAGGATTCCAATTTCTCTACATCCTTGCCAGCACTTCTTATGCTGTGTTTGGTTGATTGAATTATAGCTATCGTAGTGAGTGTGAAGTAGTATCTCATTTTGGTTTTACTTTGCATTTCCCTAATGACTAATGATGTTGAGCATCTTTTCATGTGCTTATTAGCCATTTGTATATCTTCTCTGTAGAAATGCTGTTTATCTTTTCGTTGTTTTAAATACTGTACCTGTATTAAATATAGAATTTGCAGATATTTCCTCCTGTTGTGTAGGTTGTCTTTTCACATTCCTGATTATGTCCTTTGTTACACAGAAGTTTTTAATTTCAGTAAAGATCAATTTATCTTGTTTACCCTTTTGTTGCTCATGCTTCATATCTAAGAATTTGGCATATCTTGCCAAATTCAAGATCATGACAGTTTACTCCTGTGTTTTCTTCTAAATGTGTTATAGTTTTAGCTCTTACGTTTAGGTTGTTGGTCTATTTTGATTTCCTATAAGGTCTGAGATAGTCCAATGAGAGGATTTTTTTTTTTTTTTTGAGTTGAGGGTCTCACTCTGTGGCCTAGGCTAGAATGCAGTGGCTTGATCATAGCTCACGGCAGTCTCAAACTCCTGGGCTCAAGCAGTCTTCCCAAGTAACTGAGACCACAGGTGTGCACCACTAAGTCTGGCTAAATGTTGTATTTTGTTTTGTTTTGTTTTTTTGTAGAGACGAGGTCTCATCATGTTGTCCAGGCTAGTCTTGACCTCCTGGGCTCAGGCAGTCCTCCTGCCTTGGCCTTCCGAAGTGCCAGGATTACAGATGTGAGCCATCACACCTGGCTCTTATAGTACCTTTTAACTGAGTATATGTACATATCAACCAAAAACTGTGGATTTCATAGTATTTTAAATTATTTTGCATTGTATTAATCAAAGCAGAACTTAAAATATATTTGAAAAATAGTACTTGTAAGTTTAAGACAATTTTTCAGTCCATGGCTTATACACAAGTGACTGAATATGGATTCATGGATTTCCTTCCCATAACACCATGATCTTCTATGAATCTACAGATCACATATTTTGTAGATGAGCATCAGAAGAATCTCTTATGACAGGGAAAAGAGAGACTGAGGATGAAGGTAGAGTTTCCAAGGATCCATAGCTGCAGAGACCTCAAGGAAGAGGCTGGGGATAACTGGAATGTCATTAACTAGAAGGCAGTGGTGGAATCTGTAAGGGCCAGAGAGGAAGTAGCATTTCATTTGAGGCAACAAGGATGTTTGCAGAGTTTGGTTTGTAGGCTCACAGGTCATCATCAGAAAGTAATGGTTTAGGGAGCAGTTGAAGATTCCTTTATTTCCTTTGGAAATAATGCCAACTCAACTCAGCCTCCAAACAGGGAGTCCAACTGACTTTGTTTAGCATCTTTCCTACAGGGAAGGGTAAGGAAGGAAAAGGAACTAGGCAAATTCTAGATTTTTATTTCAACTCTGACCAGAATGCTGGCTGAGTTTTTTTAAAAAAAGTCCAGTTTTATTTTAGCTGAAAATGTGATGAAAGGAATTTTTCTACTTCTCATGTGGCCAGGAGAATTAGGGTCCCTTAGAGTCTAGGGTGGTGTATTGGATTGGCCTGTGGCCATCTGATGGAGCAGGAACTGGGATACAGCTCCCAGTTCATGAGTGAGAAACTTGGTGGGGAAGTGTTGGATCACAATGGCAGTCATGGTCAAGGGCCTTCTGTCTTCTGGCCAGCTTTTTCAGTGCTGACAGGCTCATCAGTGACAATCTTCTCTTTTTTTAAAGTATTTTTTCCACCTTGTCAGGTCTGTGTCCAAAGGGCAAAAGGAACAAGGAGGGGATAAATGAGCAGGTGATTGAGTGTCTAGGGGGAATGTAGAGATAATGGTCTTCAGATGCCCTTCTGCTTTTACTGGCTGATTGCCTACTTTTTCAAATAGAAACGAAAGCTACTTTGCAAGAAGTGATTTGGGAAGGCATAAACAAAGAATGGGTCTTGGTTACTTTGATGTTTGTGGTGTTTAAACTCTGAATTTGTGTGGATGTGTCTTTTTGAATTTTTAACCCCCCCCCATGCAACCTTTGTGACTTAACAGGTGCTACTTGTGAGCAGTAGTCGCCATCCAGACAGATGGATTGTCCCTGGAGGAGGCATGGAGCCTGAGGAGGAGCCAAGTGTGGCAGCGGTTCGTGAAGTCTGTGAGGAGGTATGCATGGAGAAGAGGGGCACAGCTATGCCTCGTCATCATGAACCTCTCCTATCTGTGTAGTTCTTTAATAAATCAGCACTCACTGAATAAATGTATAGTCACAGAAAAAGGGCAATGAATGGTTACCCGGTCCCTCCTTTATTACCAGGTGATGGAGTTGTGACATGGTAATGTTAACCAGGCACTCTATGCCAGACTTCCCATGACTTTTTATGCCAGACTTTTGTGACTTCCCATGGATTTCTTCCAACACTGCCTATTACCTGTGGCACAAAATCAAGAAGCAAATCGTTCCTCACCTCTAAGGAGTAAGAGGAACAGGCAGCATTAGTATAAATGACTCATTGTCATTAAGCTTTGGAGGAGGCCCTTGTTTTCATGTGCTTACTGCATCCTAGCCATGGAACTGTGGCTAAAGCAGTGAATCTGTTAGCCAGATACTGTTAATGGTACAACTTGAGAGATAATAGTATCTTCTTTTTTATTTAGTCACAAGATGTTCCACATACATGTGTTGAGTTTCTGGGCCATGATATCCTACTAGATACTCCAGAATAAATAGAAGAAATAAAGTCATGGACCCTTAGTTCTCTTATTTCAAGAATTTACAGTCTGGGGGAAACTGAGAAACAGATTGCAATTCAAAACCCAGAGAAACGAACTGTTGTTTTCCCATAGCCTCTTGTGGTGACACCATGCTCTGCTCTTCTTGTTATCTCATTTAGGACTCATAACTCAGTTGTGTAAGCTTTATTGCCACAGTTTACTCGCCCTGGTCACGTAGGTAGTGCTTTTGAAATCCATTTCCTTGTTCTAGAGGGAATTTAAGATTGATTCTAAGAACATATAAAAAAGCACTTACAACAAGTCTAATTTCTGTGTTTCTTTTGGATCCAGCTTTTGGTAAAGTGCACTTAGAATAATCTTACCTTTGGAATATCCAAGGAAGTCTTGATTCTCGCTCTGAATTCCTACACTTACATTGGCTTATGTTACTGTCGTAGCATCTATCTTACACCCATAACTAAATTGTTCTCTCTGAGGGCAAAAATCACGTTTCCCATCAAAAATCCTTACTTTCCGTGCCTATTACACAGCTAGGTGAACAGAAAGTAATTAATATATGCTTCTTTGATAGATGGAACAATGGTTGGAACAATGCAGATGCTGAAGAAATACCCTAAATGGAAATTGTCAGAGTATAGAAAGTGATAAACATTGACAGAGAGGATATGAGAAGGCATTCTTACAGGAGGCTAACCCGGGTAGAACCAAATGGAATCAAGAGAGGGTGTAATGAAGAGAACATTGACATGGGAATCCTGGTTTCTGTTACTGTCAGTTAATAACTGTGTGACCTGTGAGAAAATAACTTTAAACACCCTGGCCCTTTGTCCTTCATTTGAATATCTTCCTTTTTACTCCACCGTGGAGGGAGGGAGGGGAATATGAGGTTCAAATGAGAACATGAGTATGAATATCCTTTGTGAATTATGTATCACTCTACCACGTAGGATGTGTGCAGCTGAAAATAATATTATGCCCATTACTGTTCCATAACAGGCTTATTATATCACATAATAAGTTGTCCCAGGTTGGCTGACTCAGCAGTATTAAGAACCCAGGTGCTTCCCGTCTTTCTTTTCTGCCATCCTTGGTACATTGGCTTTTGTTTGCGGGCTTGTCTCCTGTGGTGACAAGATGGCTATCACAGCTCTATCCTTACACATTCTTTTCAAATGTAGGGCACACAGTTTTACCTCATGGGTCTCTTTATTTGAGAGAAAAGAAATTTTCCCCAGAAGGTCCCCCAGCGGACTTTTTATGTTGGTGTTCCAGAGTTGCTTCGCATGCTTGTGCTTAAACTTCCTGGCAAAAGGTATATCAGTTCCATGTTTAAACTACTAGAGCCTTCACCGTCTAGGATTTGACTTTGAGAAACCTCTTAGACTTTAATTTAAAGCAATTGAAAAGCATGACCAATAAGAGAAGATAAAATGTTTATTTTGTTAGAAATTTAACTTATATTGGAATGTGCCAATACATGTTTACTCTAAAAAAAATGAATAGATAATATATAATTTTAGAGTGAGAAAAAATTTATTATACAGGCCATACAGTCTCTGTCACAGCTACTTAACTCTGCCATTATAGGACAAAAGTAACCATAGACAGTAAAATACATAAACAAATGGGCATGGCTATGTTCCAGTGAAGCCTTATTTATAAAAACTGTGGTGAACCATAGATAACGCCTGGTTTAAGCTCTTGCTACTCAGAGTGTAATTGGTGGACCAGCAACATCAGCATCAGCCAGGAGCTTGTTAGAAATGGAAAATCTCAGACCCCAACCCAGATCTACTGTATCAGAATCTGATTCTAATAGGACCTCTGGTGATTTTGAGATCCTACTGCCTTAGAGTATTGAATTCTTACCAATGAGTGTTCTGAGAATTCTTCCTGATGGATCTGTGGAGAGAAATGCTCTTTGAGGGATGGACTGTTGTTTGGTGGTCTCCACACCCATTCCAATGACTCTTCTGACGTGGAGAGATTAGAAAGCTTTACTTTTCCTAGACTCAGGTAAGGAATGCAACTAAGTCTCCTTGATGATATTTAGATATCCCCAATACAAAGCACTTGTACAAGATTGCTGTAGTCACGAGGAGGTCATGTTCTGAGAGCAGCGGGCCCATCTGTTTTGGTGGCACACATTTAGACAAAGGAGATATGGTTTTGGAATTGGCAGCTATAGTGTCAACTTCCTGATTTGGCTGGTGGCTTTTATTTGGCAGCTTCCTGATCCACCCCAGAGACAGCAACTCCCTTGGCAGTCCAGTTCTGCCATGTGGTTTTAAGAATTGTTCTTGGAACCTTGGCCTGTGTTTCTTGAGCTCTCCCAGTGATTCTGTAAACTGTTTTTATCCCTTATAAACCATTATCTTAAACTAATCAGGTGGAATTCTGTTGTCTGCAATTAAAAATCTCGACCCAACCAGATTCCCTGTGAATGTTAACAGCTGCTTTAGTTGTATCAGACGTTCTCCTCTGCTTGGCCATGCTAACCCATCAAGGAATTGAGGTGTCTTTGCAAAGCATCCCCCTCTAGAGAAGAGTGTCCAGTGGCCTGTGAGAGGAGGTGTCTGATCTACAGTGTGTCAGTAGTTTAATCAGGCAGACCTGTTTCTGTGGGAAAATGAAGCTGTGACAGAATCCAGTTCAGAATCTGCACCTTCCTCATAACTGTTTACTTGATTGAATGTTACTTGTCTGTTCAACAAATATTGAGTGCCTATCCATCTTGCACAAAATACTGGGCCACAAATTGGGGATACAGAAATTTGGGTTCTGCCATCATCACATGAGCTTAACGTCTCACTAAGAATACAGAGTTAATAGGAAACTATAATTTGAAAGTTCAACTTTGAGGGAACAGTTTGTACAGCATGCTGGGGCACTTGTTGGCGGAGTAGCCAACTCTGGCACAAAGACTGGCTCCTAGGAGAATGTCTGGATGGTTATAGACCTGCTCATTTAAGATTTTTCCATTTTGGAGGGACTTTGGGGATACAGTAGGTAGTGTGAGGTGGTCTTGTACATGATATCCCCACATAAGGGAGATTAGATAGAGGAGGGATGAAGTAGCTGGTGAGCTTTTCTTTACTGTGAAGCAGAATTGGGTTCCCACTTTCCTGTCAGACCTGAGATAATGCGGAATTAGAAGGGTGTAGACACACCCTGAAGGGCAGGTATGATTCTGTACTTTGCATCCCTAGGCCTGAGGGCACCAGAAGCTTTGCCTAATTCTTTCTGTAGGAACTCGAAGTTTGACTGTTCAAATAAGTGGTGTGGTAGGGCCCGTTGGTGGACCTAAACTGAATAATTTTGATTTAAATCCAGTTGGCTTCTGTAGGTTCTAAGGTGCTTAAGGCAAAAATAGTGTTTGAGAGTGACCATGCAGTTGTGGATTCAGACAGATTGTTACAAGACCTGAAATGGAGTGGTGGTTCTCCAGTAGAGAGAGAGGAAAAATTTCAAAGACCTTGTGCAAAGACTTGATACTTGGTTTTGGGAGTTGTGGTTGGAATATCTCTGGCCATTCTACTTTTGTAGAGCACATTTGGAATTTGTGTCTGTTTCAGGAAAGCTTACCTTATTTGTTGTCACTGTTGCTGTTCTGTGTTTGAGTGTTACAGTTGAGTTGTCCCTTGGTTATACAAGTGCAGCTAAGATGTAGAAAACCAGATGTTTGCAACAGGAAATGCATTGAGGGAGTAGGAAGGATATAGGGTACTGTACTTTTGTTTCCTGGAAATTGCATACTATCCTTCTATAGGTAAAAGGGAGAATAGTGTGAAATAGGAATAAAGTGCTCGTGAAGTAAGGAAATGAAAAGTGCAGCACAAATAATTAAACTACACTCCTCATATGTTTAGTATCTTACCTAGCTCTTCTCTTGAAAGAGTCTTGATCTTGAAACTTTATTCTCTCAGTAATAGTAGAATAAAGTATGGGATATGATGATGTGATTCTTCTTTGACTGCAGGCAAGCTCTGCCTGCCATTCTCAGCCTTAAAGAATCCTTCCTGACTTTAGATCGAGACTATCCTAGCTAACGCGGTGAAACCCCATCTCTACTAAAAATACAAAAAAAAAAAAAATATTTAATAATTAGCCGGTCGTGGTGGCGGGCGCCTGTAGTCCCAGCTACTCGGGAGGCTGAGGCAGGAGAATGGTGTGAACCTGGGAGGCGGAGCTTGCAGTGAGCAGAGATTGCACCACTACACTCCAGCCTGGGTGACAGAGTGAGACTCCGTCTCAAAAAAAAAAAAGAAAAAAAAAAGAAAAAAAAAATAATCCTTTCTGACTTTGAGCAAATTTTTTTCTGCAGTCAGAGGAGAATCGTCTCATCTTATCCCATATTTTATTCCAGCATTATTGAGAGGATAAAAAAAAGTCTGTGAACTGCTTTGAACTTTAGAGTAAGTATCCAAATA